TTGACAAGCCTTGTGTCCCTGCTGTTTTTTTGTACCCCTTGACTCTCTTCATCACTGTCTGTTCTTTTCTTCTTCGTCGGTTGTTGGGATCGTAATACCATCATATCATGAACAGTACCACATAGCCTCCCTCCCTCGCTTTGAGCATGAGGAACAGTGATCGCCCGTCTTGCTTGCCGGATAGGAGATCGTTCTAGAGTACTACGACGAATTCGTTAATTGCTTGAGGTGGTGTTGTTGTGCCTTTCGGCAGCTGAAGCTGCATATCTGGCGCGATGACAAAGCAAATGGTTAATTGGAGAAGGAAGAGGAAGGAAGTGTATGAGAGTGAAGTGTGTGTGTATGTCTGTTGATGGGTGATACGTGTAAGATGGAAGATGGAAGATGGAAGATTGGAGATCAGACTGGCAACGATCAGACAACAAAGCCAAAACAAAACCCATTGTTGCTTCCTCCAGTCCGAATTTAATTTCCAAAATCCCCCACTTTCCAATTTGATTATCATCTTTCGACTTCTTCATCTTCCTCCCAAAACTAACCCATTCAGATGAAAAACAACTTCCTACTACTACCACTACTACTACTACTCACTCAGCAAACCAACCAACAACAACAACAACAAAACAAACAACCCACACTCAACTCATTCAACCAACTACTCAACCAACAGTCAAAAACATGCCCAGCAACAACAAACACCATCACCACCACCACCACCACCACCACTGCCAATAACAACCAAAAACCAAAACTATTGTCATTCTCAGACTGGAAACAACAACAACATCATCAGCAGCAGCAGCCAGTCGACGAAAACAAAAACATCAGCCAACCAACACCATCCACCTGGTCCTCCACACTCTCACAATCACTCTCACAAACGAGCAAACGAGCAACCGACTACCTCAAAACAACAAACTCAGCCGACTCACTACTACCCATCTGCCAGCCAGAACACACTCCACTCAAAACAAACCTATCCGAACCCCACCAAGACAAACAACATTCAATCAAACTCAACCAACAACACCCACCCATCCTATACCAACCAGACCCAAACACAGGCACCGGCACCCCTGATGACCCACTCAAGATACTCTCGACTAGGACCAACTACGCCTCATTCGACTGCTCAGCCTCCATCCATCGATCCTCAAAACACACCAAATCCCCCTCCTCGATCCTCAACGAGAAGAAAGATAAATACCTACTCACTCCCTGTACCAATCACAAATCCAAACAACATAACAACTTCGTCGTCTTCGAACTCTGCGACGAAATCGAAATCGATCATGTCGTCCTCGCCAACTTCGAGTTCTTCAGCTCGATGTTCAAACTCATCAAGATGTCCGTAAGCAATAGTGGGCTCGAAGGCGTCGGACGAGCCGAATGGGTCGACGTTGGATTCCTCAAGACTCATAACACTCGGGGCTTCCAAGTTGAGCGTGGACTGATGATGATGAATCTACAGCAGAGAGATCTTTGACTACTATTAACTAATCCCTCCCTCTCTCTCTATTAACAACAGGTCTTCCCAATCAAACATCTCAAAGGTTTCTATCGCTACGTTCGACTCGATTTCTTAACCCACTATGGATCCGAATACTACTGTCCACTCTCACTCGTCCGGATCTATGGTCTCACCCAAATCGATGCCTATCGACGTGACGAGAAACTCGAACAAAGAAATAAGGTCGACGAATCCGTCATCCAGGCACAAGAACAAGACCAAGAAGAATCAGTTCAAGAAGAAGAACAACAACAACAACAATTAGTACCAAACTCAGAAGAACAACTTCCCTTATCACAACAACCTGAGCTCCCAATCCAGACGGATAACAAATCTACTACGGCAACTTCTGATGATCCCGCAGACGACCACCCCTCAGCTGACTCAAACATACCGTCTCCAGCAGTCCAAGAACGATCAAATGAAGCATTCAAGTCCAACGAAGAAGAAAAGGATCTCAATCAGAATCATATTGAGAAACAGCAGGATCAGTCTGATAGCCCAGAAGCAACAACAACACCAGACTTGGTGGTCCAACTTCCAGAAACAGTTCAACCAGAACCGACTACTAACCAGGAATCGCCGCCTTCTGCTCATGATTCTCAATCCACATCCACTCAACCTGTTTTACCCTCACCATCTTCTGAACCCGACATTCTCCCCGCTCCAAGCGACCCCCCTCAACCGCAGGATGATTACTCACTGGCCACCGACACTGAAAAAGTACCTCTTCCCCCACCAGCGCAGTCATCCGACTCACAAGAACACAACCCGACGACCGAGTCTAACAATCATAACCCATACGAAACGACGACGAGCGAGTCAATTCCTAATCCACCCGCCTCATCAGCAGGACGAGGAGGAGAAGCGAAGAAACAAACCCTGACAGGCCACGATCCCACTCATCCAACCAAACCCATCATCAGCTCTTCTAAATCTACGCAAGCTGAGAAACCAACTCCTCCTCTTCATCATAACCCTCCTGCTCCTGGGAATCCTACCGGACATGGATCGGAATCGATCTTCGGTCAGATCATGAAACGTCTCAATGCTCTCGAATCTAATCATCTCCTCCTCCTTAAATATACCGAGGATCAGGTGCTCGGTCTTGGCGATTCTTCGCTCAAAGTTCAGTCTCATCTCGACGAACTTGAGAAGATCGTAAGCAAACTCTTTCCCGCCAAACCCAAACTAAACAACTGCATTCCAATAAATTGATGAAGATCTTATGTTTACAGTTAAAGTTGCAAACCAAGACGCATGAAGAGAGTGTTGAAGAGATCCAAGGGATCAAGAACCAGATGACGGTAGAACGGAACTTTCTGAACCATCGGATCGAGAGTTTGGACTCCTCGATCACGTTTATCAAGCGGATCGGGCTGGTCCAATTCCTGAGCATCATTGCGATCCTGATCTTCCTCAGCATGACGCGAATCCAACATGGAAGCAGTCCAACGAATGGGAGAATGACACGGGAAGAGCGGCGAGGAGGTGGTAGCCATCCATGGACGAGCCATCCGATCCGCCGTCTCTCTTCTTCTCCGCGTCTGCTTTCTGAGCATCCTAGTTTACGCCACCAACGGACGCCGGGGGGAGCGAAAAAGCTGATTGTGGGGTCTCGAAGAGAGTCGACTTCTTCGGCGACGACGGCGGCCAAGAACGAGCTCTTCCTCGTCTCCTCCCTCCATCGCAAGCTCGCCCACCACTCTTCACCCCGACTTCCGTCGCTCAAACTCGGCTTGAGGAGGCCGGACTCGCCCCTCAGACGGGCCGCATCCCTCTCCCATCATCATCATCAGAAACAACTCAGCGAGAGTCTCAATGGGCCGGCGTATCCGCGCACCAGACGTGCGCGGGTACTCGAGCAGCGAGAAGATCAGAAAGACGAGCTTGGTGGGCCCGACCAGGCGGTCTCGTCGATCGACGATGATTGGGTCAAGGATGATGATGGCGAGGAGCAGTTCCCACTCGAGCGTCCGACGCTCCCCAAGGCCCACCATCTCGACCACCATCTTGCACCAAGAAGAGATGCTGATGATCGTCCTTTGGAGCAAGCAGCAACAGCAGCAGCGAAGGAGATCGAGCCCAGTTCGGGCCCGTCGGAAGAAGCTCGACCTTGTGCCTTCACTCTCCCTACTCCTCCTCCTTCCTCGCCCCCCTCCTCTCCCTCCCCTCCTCCACATCTTCAGCCTCTCCCCCCGCTTCCACTGCTCGACCATTCTTCCTCTCTTCTTCCCACCGTCCCTCTCCTCCCTCCTAGCTACAGATCCTCCATCCGTCATCCGCTCCCTGCTTCTCAGGCCAACTCTTCGGCTGAGCCCTCGATACTCGAAAAGTCCGTCGAAAAGCCCGTCACAGCCCATCTTGGACAGTGATCCTCTCTTCTTCATCCCCCCTAACACTTTACCTCTCTCTCTTTCTCTCTCTCTGATGTATATATATATATGTATATCGTTCGTTCCTAGGGAACACCAAACATACCCTCCCTCCCCTCCCTCCCTTTTTTTTTAATTTGTTCATCCATAGACTTCTTTAACTCCTTCTTCTCTCTCTTGTGGGTCTCCTTTTATTTGATGTCCTTTCTTTCTTTCTTTGGGGGGGGGGGGAATAGGGCGGGGTTGGGTTTCTTTTGGGGAGTGGGGGGTAGGCGTTGCAATCGTCAAGTATTGATCATGGTCTTCTTTGTGTAGTGTCGAAGTATATAGTATAGTATAGTGTCGAAAGTATATATTTAGGTGTTAGTTTATGGTTTGGTTCAAGTATGCGCTCTGGTCTGTCCATCCAATCCAGTTTCTTTGCTTTGCTTTGTTTTGCTTTGTGTTGCTGTTCTTGTTGCTCTGTTCTCCCGCTTTGGGTTTGGGTTTTGGGGTTCTGAAGCCGGGTACATAGAATGCGGAACTCCTTGATAGATTCAAGTCGTCATTATCTCATTCATCCAGGAGACCCCCACACCTGGGTTTCCCAAGGGGTTTTTTTTTCTATGTCACTGGTATGTATAAGTTTTGTGTGGTTGGGTGTGTGAGCATTGCTGGATGAAGCGTCGAGAAAGCAGCACGAAGAGAGGTGGGACTCACACGCCGTTTAAGATGTGGCAAGCGGAGAAGCCTTCGATGGTCATACATTTTCGTGAATCGAGAATGTGGCGATGAGGTCGTGTCATTGGCAAGCAGCAGCACCCGACTATAATCACTGCAGTCCTTTTTCTTATAATGTACCTATTAAGCAGGGCCGATCGGCCTCTTTTTTTCTAGCCCGTGTCTGGACCCTATTTGGCGTGCGCCTTTTTCCGGGGTTAACATTCCTTTCTGGGCGGCGTTTCTTATTTAAGATATCTGTCACCCTGCGAGGTGGGGGGGGTGGGGGCTTTCGCCACTCTTCTGCTTCGGCAGAAATACCTGGGACCCCCCTCCCAATCCTCCCATCTTTATGTAGACCCCCCTTCTCTTCTTAAAAAATAATACCGATATTTAATAATGTTGGGGGGGGGGGGGGGGGGGCACATTATCAGAATAATCATGGGCTTGGTGACAAAGGATTGCATATTGCTATGGTCTCTGCTTTTTTTTTTGGTTGTGGGTATCTAAAAAAAAAAGGGATGTTGGGTTGGGTGGGTCAATACAGCTCGGACGGCTTCTCGGGGAAGATTATGTGTGTCTACACTTCTCATGCTATGATGGTACTCTCCACTTGGCGATGTTTCTCTCTCTCTCTCTCGATGATGATGATGATGATGATGGAAGAGAAGATTTGAAAGGTTGGCGGACGGGCTGGTATGTACAGTGATCGAAAGATGCATCATGACGGTGAAGCTAGTTTTATGTGTCCCATACAATC